GTTTTTACTCTGTCCCTCTCACTGTCACTGTCTCTGTTTCTCTCTGTCCCTCTGAGTCTTTCTTAAGCTCTCTCTCTGCCTTTGAGAGGAGACCATGCTTTGTTTATAGTGCATTGTCCCTTCTCTAATATACTTTCCTTTTGACTCTAACTCTGGTGTGCATTTGAATTCTTTCTTGCACTCAGCCAAGAACTCTCTCTTGGTGCAGAGCTTGAGTTCTCCCCCACTCAAGGAAATTTGCCCTGACCTGTATCAGGAATACCTAGTGGAGCTTCTGGAGTAACTCCTGAAAGAGAATGCAAGCCCCTTTATATTTGTGGCCTTCAGGGACTTCAAACTCTCCTGGCCTTCAGGGACTTCAAACTCTCCTGCTAGCCCTCAGTCGGTCTTTAGAAATTCATTAGCAATTTCTAACTAATTTTCTTATTTGTGGTGTTTTTGTGGTGTCTTTCCCAGATAAGCCAATGCTTAGGTCCTATTTCTCCCTCCACAAGTCTCTTTCTAGATTTGAGGATAATTGTTTCCTCTGTGACCTCAGTTCTCTAATGACTTTAAGAAAATTTGTTGTTTTGCAGTTTTTTCCAACATTTTTTTTACTGCTATAAGTGTGAGTGGCATTCGTTTCAACTCTCCATTTGGAGCTGAAAACACAAATTATCTTGTTCATTTTGCAACTTAAATATAACATTTGATTTAAAGTTCCCTTTGGTTCCCATAAGCAGTACAAACTTTTTTTGTTCTAATGACTTGCAGTGAACAGGGAGTTGGGTTCTATTCTCAGGAACATTTCTCTCTTTATCTCAAAAGTATTTCTTGTGCTTGGGAGGATAGTGAGGGAGAAGTAAAGTAGATATTATATAGCCATCCTTAGCAACACTGGCCATTGTTGACTCAATATGAATAGATGATAAGTTCAATAGTTTCCAATGACCACAATTCTCTTCATTGTCAGTCATAAAGCTTTGCATTTTTTTCCCTCTCCTTTTGCCCTTTAGGATATACAGGAAAATTTTGTTGGATAGAAATAAAACTCCATAGCACAAAAAGTTAAAGAATTGTTCCCTTTTAGAGCCAGCTACAACCTGAGTTTGACCAGATAATTTGGGTTTAAAGTAGAAGTGTTGAACCCTTCCCTCAGAGTCCAGGGAAATAGCCTCCAGAACAATAAGGGTAAGGATGCAGCTAGAACAATGACCCCAACCAATCTTGTTTATATTCCCAGAAGGACCTTGATTGTGCCTAGGCCTGTTTTGGTGGTTTTATGATGACTTCAGTTCTGTATCTTCCTGATACAGTGTTTCTGATGTTTGAGTCAGCCCAGACCCAAAAGTACAGGAGACCCCAGGCAAAGAGAGCTTGCAAAGGTATGTGGTCCTCCAGTTCAGGAGAAAAAGAATATTATCACCCATTTGAATACCCATGTGCACTGTAGCACAACTCATGATTTGGGGGCCAAGGCAGTTAAGCTGTGAATTGGCATAAAATGCCTTTTTAAGATATTAATGGTGAAAGAAGCAATTCCATTGTGAGACTTACCCTTTAGGTCTGTCACTTGAAGAATCATTACCACTATTCTGATATCCTAAAGCATCGGTTGGGCAAAAGGTGAAAATAAAATTCAAATCATTGGGTTTAGGAAAACAAACTGTTTAAGGATTATCAGTTTAGAGCCAAATAAGCCTAGGTTCCAATTTAGGCTCTTCCCCTTACTAGTATGTGACCTTGCATAAATCACTTACATTCTTTGAACCTCAATTCAGTCACCTATATAGAGAGCATAATAACACTTTTTTAGAATTGCTTGTCAGAATTAAAAGATAGAAATATGAAAACATGTACTGTGAATATTGGTGATTTATATCATTTCTAGACCACAGTGTAGAACAATGAGTGTGAAATATCCATGTATTCTTTTCCTCTGCAGCAGTGTTATCATTATTAGTCTGGATCTATGGGAAACTAAGGGGAGTAGAACCTCTCCATCCCCAATCCTCATGAAGTTTGAGAAATAAAGCTTCGTAGTGTTAAGGCACTGATGTTTGGAGTTGATAGCTATCCTAGCATAAACTTAAGCTAACCTGACAAACACACCCAAAGGTCCTCAGAATTAAGCAACTGAATCACTGGAATGCTTATTGAAATACACATTTATGGCAAAACTATATAGGGAGCAGGCTATAGATTGTGGGAATTATAATGGCAAGAGAGAACTACTCAATTATCATATCTGAAAGTAAATAGATAATGACCGAAGTTAGCAAGTCAAGAAATTGCAGTTGCAAGTCATACATCTGATAAGGGACTTGTATCCAGAATAAATGAAGAACTCTTACAACTCAACAATAACAAGATAACCAGCCCAATTTAAAAATGGGTAAAGGATTTAAACAGATTTTTCTCCAATGAAGTTATACAAATGATCAATACACACATAAAGAGATGCTCAGCATCATTAGCCATTAAAGAAATGCAAATCAAAACCGTAATGGGATTCCACTTCATACTCACTAAGATGGCTATAATAAAAACTACAAGCAATGACAAGTGTTGATGAGAATGTGGAGAAACTAGAACCTTTGTGCATTGCTGGTAGAATTGTCAAATACCTCAGTTGCTTTGGAAAACAATTTGGCAGTTCCTCAAAAAGTTAAACATAGAGTTACCACATGACCCAAAATTCTACTTGTAGGTGTATACCCAAATACATACTCAAGAAAATTGAGAACATATTTACATGTAAAAAGTTTACGCTGTTGTATTACATACATGTATATATGTACATATATATGTGTGTATATATATGTGTATATACATACATATATGTTGTTAAGAGAATAAATCTTAAGAGTTCTCACCACAAGGAGAAAATTTTTTTCTATTTTTTTCTTCTTACTGTATCTACGAGATGATGGGTGTGAATTGAACTTATTGTGAAAAAATAAATAAATAAAATAAACTTATTGCAGTAATCATTTCACAATATATGTAAATCTAACCATTGTGCTGTACACCTTAAACTTATATAGTGATGTATGTCACTTATATCTCAATAAAACTAGAAACAAAATTTTATTACAAAAAAGAAAAATTGAAAAAATTATCTTTGCTTCTCCCAACAGAAATGATTAACTAGAGAGTCAAATACTACACACCTGTGTTTTCTTTAAACCAGACACAAAACAAACAAATTTAGAGTACCTCCTCATAAAAGAAATCAAAGCATTCAAAGTTAAAGCACCTTTGGACATAATCATTACCATGCTCTGAGGTTATCTACATAATAAACTAAGGTAAAACCATCATTTCTGTACTGGTAAATTTTGTATTTTGACTATCAATATTTATTTTAAAAGGCAAAAAAACATGTGCATGACTGTTCAATAATGATACATGCTGCAATATGGATAAAACTTGAAAATGTTATGCTATGCGAAAGAAGCCAGACAGAAGAGACAATATACTGTGTGGTTCCTTTTAAATGAAATGTCTAGAATAAGCAAATTCTGCATTTTCAAGATAAGTAGGTGATTTGGGTCCAGGTAATCTGCTAGTTTTCTAATCTGCTAGAAAACTTCAAGAAACACTACTATATCCAATGTTAATATCATTTAGCAATGAATTTTGGTAAAATCTTCTGCTGTGTTCTTTTTGGAGTGGCAAGTTTCAGTTGCTAAAGAATGAAATTATATGCTCAAGACTATATACTCAATCGGGCCAAGAACTGGGCCAAGAATTGAAGCCTTCTGACTCAATAATCAATGTATTGATTTTTTTTAAAGCTTCTATTATGTGTTGCAGAAACCAAAATGAGTAAGATAAATCCTTTGCTTTGAAAAGGGCAAATCTAGCAGGGTAATTATAATGCCTGAAAAATATATTAATAAAGATTTTACATGGGCATTTTTTCATATTTCAGGATTAATAAAACTGTAAGAGAAGAAGGACCTTCTCCACAGTTTGGTAGAGAACATAGTGGGGCTGCAACTCACCAGGGACTCCAAGAAAATCAAAGGGGCTTTGTTACCTTGAGAATTCCAGCTCGCCAGGAGCAGTGAGGCTGTTAAGAAGGTGCAAGGCCCATGAGAAGGGGCACAGTATCCAAAAGACATGGCATTACTCAGGAGAGAGTAGCACCTACCTCTCGGCTGTCTGGACTTATTCTTGGACACAAGTGGGAGCTCCCTCAGCCCTCTCTCAAACATCAAAAACAGAGAAAAGTCAGGGCTCCTGGCTTCTCTTAGTGTAAGAGAGAGGTAGGAGCCAGACCAACACAGCTCACACACTCAGTGTCTCATTTGATCTCCACAGCGCTGGTAAGTTTTATCCCCATTTCACAGATGACAAGACTGTCCCTTACAGCAATAGGTTCATAACTACCTGGTTGATTCCTCCATCTTATAGTCCCAAAAGTAATATGAATTTTATGCATAATTTCACATCTTTACAATAAGAATTTGAAGTGTCTCCATTGCCTTCATAAACTCGCTGAAGAGTTACTTTGATTGCTTCGTATTTATTTTCCTACTTTTAAAAATCTATTATTTATTTTATGGCAAAAGCAATGCATTTTTTAAGGAAAAGTGTACAAATGAGAGAAAGAATCATTTCCTCCACTGTAACCACACAGAGAAAACCATTATTTCTCTTTTGGTCTACTCAGTTTCATAGTTTTCCCTGTGCATGGATACATTACATAACTTTTTTTTTTTTTTTCAAAAATGGGCCGATGCTGTATATGTGGTTCTGAAAACTGCTTGTTTTATTATTATTTTACAATGTATAATGAACATTTCTTCCATGCACATGGGTGAAAATACCCTGCTGAAAGACAGAGTGCTGTAGTTGAATCAAAAGGCTGCTGGTGACAAGAGTAACACCTAAAGCAAAGTATCAGCATAAGGTCAAAGCACATAGCCTGGCAAATGCCTACCAGGGAAAGCAGGGTTAACAATATTCTCAGCAGAGAAATATTGTTAAATATTGTTTAAAGGTCAAAGGCATTAAACATAAGGAATGTCTTCTAAGTCCTTCTGACCCCTACCTCCGCCCTTCACTCCCCTGACACTCCGTTGGCCCTTTGGGGCAAATGGATCCTGTACCTCTCTTTGCATCCAATGAAAACCACCCATTTTCTGTTTTTTCCTTAGCTCTTCCTGAGCCCTTGACACATCTCCACACTCTCTCATCATCTCCTCACTGCTCAAATGCCTTTCCTGTAAGTCCTCCTGATAGTCCTTGGGGGAATCATCTGTCTCCCTGTCTGTTTTTCGCTTTGCTTTCCGGGGCACATAATCTTCAGCCTGGTGCTTTTCAGCAGCCCGCGGCTCGCTCTTTGTCTTTGCCTGGGGTTCTGGCTTTCCCCCACCGCGTGCTTTTCCCTCATCTTCAGACTTGCCCTGCTTTTCTTGTGTCCTCTCATCATTTGGCTGTCCCTCGTCCTGGAGCTTTCCTTTGTGTTTTGGTTTCCTCTCCACTCCTGGCTTTTCTTCCTCATCTGACTTTCTTTCATCTTCTGTATCTACTTCATCTTCTGGTTTTTCCTCATTTTCCAGCTTTCCTTCCTTTTCATTGTAGAGTTTTTCCATGTTGAGATGTCCCGTCCTTTGCCTGTCTTAGGAGACAAAAAGGAGAAAAAGGAGACTGAGAACTTAAGTGTTGGAATACAGGTCCTGATAGTACTTGCCTTTATGATCTTTTGTCACTCTATCCTAACTTCCAGGTGCACTCCCACCCATACATTTTTTCATTTCCTTCCCACTTCATCATAAATGTTTGCATGAGCCCACCTTGCAGAAACTTTTACAAGTGTGTCTCCCTACATTTAAGTGAGGTGTACTGAGAAGTGTGTAAGAGATTTGTCCCTGAACTTTACTCTGGCCTTGGCTATGTCCATAACAATTTTAGCTGGGTAGTCGGAACTTACACTGACATACAAGAATCCTAGCTGGTTTCTTTTTTCTTTCTTCCTTGCCTGCAATTATAAGACTTATAAAACTACAGACACAGCAAAACAATGATTAGTTCTCAGATTTCAAGGGGCTTCACAGATGCCACACTTCCAACTCTCACTTCCTTGTTTCCCCTGCCTTATCCTCATCAGCCATAAAGCACCATGTTCCCATAGGGTCCTGACAGAAGCCATGTATTCTGAGACTGCAATAAGAAGGCTAGGAAGAGGGATGGTAGGTAGTGGTCTCCCCAACTTCTGCTCAGGCTTATGTCACTCTTACTCCCAGGGGTTCTGGGACTGTTGCCCTCTCCCACTGACCTCACTGATCCTGCAGATCTTTCCTTTTCTTGTCTGAGTTGGGGCTTATAACCACAGACCTGAAGACCTGTAGAGAGACAAAGAAGACAGATGGTGAATGAGGGCCAAGGACACTGACTCTTTTTGTACTCTAGTTGTCAAAACTTTCCCAACTCCTGCCACCCCTTGACGTTTTCCTTGCATTCTGATCTCCCTCTACAGCCCCTCCCTAACAGCTTCTATTTTTCTACTAATGGGCAATGGCAGAGAAAGATTATTTTCAAAGTGTTTCTGTGTTTCTGAATTCTCCTCCTAAATGTTTCTCTCACTTTTTATTGCACTAAAATGAGTGAGGTTCAGGACAGTAATGTTCAGAAGGCAGATCCTGCTGGGCTCAGGTCTCTGCCTTCCAAATTCCCTACCCCAGGGTGCCCAGATAACACAAAGCCTGTCATTTCTCTGAAAAAAGGTAATGATAGAATCAGGGGCAGGGCAGAAATGTCCAGAGCATTCTTGCCACCCCTTCCCTCTTCACATACATGTTTTTCTGCAATGCAAGAGACAAATTATTTCCAAACTCAGTAAAAATTTTGGTCTATGTTTCCTCCTCTCAATCCCCCCTAGTTCAGAAACCATTCCTCCGCAATAGGGAGCTGGTCTCCAGACGACCTCTGTCCCTCACCCCTGCAGCCCACCATTTCTGGTTCCAAAATGTATAGAACAAGGAGAAGAGATACAGAGGGCCTAGTCCTGGCCCATTTGCAGGGTATGCCCACCCTCATCCCGGGATCTCAGGCTGTGCCCTCCTCCAGCCCCTCTGCAGGGATAAGGCCATTTCCTCACCATCCTCCCCCCTCCACTTCAGCCCTCCAACAGACATAATCCAGTTATCCTGCCTCCTAGGAGATTGGAACTGGTACCCATTCCAATCCTTGGCCCCTCTCCACCTCCTTCCACCAAGCCCTCTATTTCTTGCATCAAAAGATGGCCATCGGGGGAGGGACAGAAAGAATTCAGTCCTGGACCCATTCTGGTCTTTGCCCTCTGCCACCCCCATCTCAGGGGCTCACGAGCTGCGGTGGATTTCTAGCATTCCCGGGGAGATGCTTCCTTCTCCTCACATTTCTTTCTGCCATAAGCCTGAACTTATCCAGAGAAATAAGAGATAGTACCCTGACCTCTCCCCCAGCATTCACTCAATTTTCTGCGCCAAAATGAATGGGGGTGAGAAGGAGGTGGCATCTGGAAAGAACACCAGATCCTCTGTAGCCTCTGTCCCTTACCACCCCGGCCCCAGGGTTCCCCCGCCCCCGCCGTGTACAGACCTGCAGAGCTAGAGGGAAGTTGCCCCTCTGTCCCTGTCTGAAATCTATCTTCCTCCACGGAAATAGGGAGCAGGTACCTGGAGGAGAGGGACTGCTGCACCCGTCGGCTCCTGATCACGTGAGGAAAACGTCACCAGTGGGCTCGGGTCCCTAGTTCTCCTCCCTGCAGGAGAAAGTGCGTCAGGAGCCAGCCCACTGCTTTCCCTTAACTAGCCCCCTTCCGCCTCGGCCCGCTTTGGTCTCCTCCCCTCACTGCTTGAGGCTCTGTCACTCATTTTGGTCTTTGCTAATCCCAGAGGTCAACTGTGGCTCCTTCTCCTTGTGGTAAATGTTCTGTTTTATCAGGGAGGGACTGCATCCTCTCCTAGGGCTACTGGCCATTGGCCTATCTCTGAGGAATTTTTTCTTTTCCTTTTTATTTCAGAGCACCCAGTCCTTGAATCTACTCCACTCAGCCATTGATGCTCATTTCTCCTGTCCTCTGGACCTTTGCATAATAGATACAGAGTGGTTTGTCAGATAAGGAAGCAGGTAGTTGAAATAGAGATTTTATTTTCTTCTAAATATTTTTTTCAGTTTTATTTCATTTACTCTCCTCACCATGGGTTGGTCTTATAAGCAAAAAATTAAATAAAGCTACTCTCATTTGGAGGAAAAACGTGTTTAAGATAGAGGGAAAAAACTAACAAGATTCCAAAATTATGAGACCAAGTTAAGTTCATAATATTGATTTTTGCCACGTAGAAAATTCGAGAGGTCGATGGCCAAGCTCTACGGTTTCCGAGAGCGGCAGAAGAGGTGGGGGAGGGGGAGCAGGTACCTCCTGGGCTGGGCTCCTGGCTGTGCTGTTTCTGTCTGCTCTGCAGTGGGAAGCACTTTACTCACAGGATATCAATGCAAAACTGAATAAGAAAAACAATTTTTTTCCTCCTGAGCCATATCAGTCATATAGAAATACCACTTTGGGAAATAGTCTTCAGGATAGCCTTGACGAGCTCGTATAGCCTCAACATATCATCCCCAATTTGCCCTTCAAGTTCTGCTTCAGTTTGATAAGGCTATAAATTCAGCAGCGGCTCAGAGGGTCAGTCAACTTCAGGGGCTCTCTAAACACTTACAGATTCTGCGATGATGTGTGAATTTTTGTATTGAATGATGTTGAATGCAGAGAGGTGACAGAACTTATTAAAATAGATAAAGTGAAAATTGTAGCCTGTGATGGTAAAAATACTGGCTCCAATACTACAGAATGAATAGAAAAATGGCTTTGTTATGCCAACCTCTGTTATTATTCATTGTTTTTTTTAAAAAGAAACATAGAAGAGACTTTTTGCAGAAATGACTGCATTGTGCTATACTATCAGAGAATTCAATAGAAAGAAGCTTATCTCTCTAGCTCCTTATATTACCTTTATTAAACAGCATGGAGAAACAGACCTTTTTAAAAATAACTAATCAAACATCGATGCCTACCTAACATTCTTTAATAAACTTATTTTAAAACTCAGGGAAAAAATAAAATTAGATTGGCTACTTACTAAATATATATTTTAATTTTCATAAATAGCTGATTCTCTCACGCTCTGCTAAAAATACATGTGTTGACTCTTCCCAAACGACTGCCAAGTGCTAGGTAGACTTGCTGGAATCTGGTGGCTAACACAACATCAGTCTTGAAAATTTGGCCTATGGCTCTTTCCATTCAGAGGTTTAGCTGTAAGCAAAAGCAGCTGAAGATCTGAGGGATGCAGATATGCTCTGATCTTTCCTGCCTTGTCAAGAGGGAAGGAATATACTGTTTCCTGACACTTTCTCACATTCCAGAGCCTCTCATCCTTTGCATTTAGGCATCTGACTATTGGTCATTCCAAAAATATATAGAGAGGAGTGACCAAGGTGGTGACCTGAGTAAGTGCCTTTGGGTTCCTCTCTCTCTCCCCTAAATGCCCACAGAGGTAACTCAACCCCAGCAGAGATGGAATGCTGTTCTAAGACCAGGAAACCAGAACAAACCCCTTCTAGATCCCTGTAACAGAGGGTTTCCATAAAGCCTAGAGAACTGATTGCTGGAAAGATAGTCTCTAGACCTGCCTGCTCTCTGCCCTATTCACAGTGCCAGGTGTAAGCTTTCTTAACCTTGCCTACCACTGGACTTAAGAGGTGCAGACTTATGTGTCTCTCAACTGCAGTATCTTCACCTCCAAGGCACCTAGAAGGAGCCTAGCCATGCTTCAGAGTTACTTCCTGCCAATCTGCATCCATCCTGACACCCACTCAGCCAAGTCAGGCCAGTGTCTAAGGAACTCTGACATACTGACCATACTGATTTACCTAAACCAGGTGTTCTTAACTGAAGAAGTATGTGGACCACCTTAGATGGTGTGCAAAGTTGCATATACTTAGGAGGTAGTAGGGTATGTACACTTATGAAAAGATTTGTAATCTAGGAACTTGAGTAACACTGATACATGAGTAAATTGACAGCATGAAGAAGCAGAATCTACAAGATAGAGGAAGGACAGAGAGAAGAAAAAGATGTTACTTGGGAAAGAGACAGGAAGGAGAAGACACAAATGACAGCTAAGCATGTTAAAGAGAGAGCACTTACTTCTTGGGTTCAGGCATTCTTAACTAAAGAAACATGTGAATCCCCTGGAATTATGTTCAAAATAATGTGCATGTGTGTGTGTGGTGGAGGACAGATAAAATATGTACATTTTTACTGGGTGTGTACATTTTCTTAGGCTAGGATGCATTGCCTTCATTAGATGCTCAAAAGGGTATGTAATATGAGAAAATAACATGAAGGGCAACTGGCCTAGAGAATATACTTTTATACACAACTTTTTTCAAATAGGACTATATTTTTTAGGAGAAGTTAACATAAAAATTATCCATGTAAAAGTGTACAACTCAGTGTCATATAGTACATTCACAATGTTGTAAAATTATCACCTCTGTATTGTACAGTTCCAAAACATTTTCATCAACTCCAAATGAGACTCCATACTCA